AGAGACACTTTATTGGGTTTGGAAGGTGTGGAGGGTGCGATACAAGGGGGAGGAGTTCTTACGAGTACTTTACAGGTAGAAAAGTGTGAACTTCTTTCGTCTTTACACTACTATCTTCGTTCAGAAGAAATTTTTTGGAAGCAAAGATCGAGGGTCAGATGGTTGAAGGAGGGATATTCGAATACCAAGTTTTTTCATGCTATAGCGAATTCCCGATGTCGTCAGAATGATATGTCGAGTATTTGCTTTGAAGGAGTGGAGGATAATAAGAGTGATGAATAGGAGATGGAGTTGGTGAAGCACTTTCAGAAAGTCTTTGCGAAGGATTTACCGATAAAGTCTAAGTTTAGCGGTATCGGTCTCAAAGTTTTACCAAGGAATGTAGCAGCGTCTCTGGAAGGAATGGTAACTGTGGAGGAACTTAAAATGACAGTTTTTGCTCTACCTGGGGACAAAGCGCCAGGTCTTGATGCATTTTTGGTGGCTTTCTTTCAAAAATTTTGGGATCTCAGTAAACTTGACTTGTTATTTATAGTGAATGAGTTTCTTTCAAAAGGTGTTGTGAATAAAGACATTAACTCAACATATATTGCTCTAATCCCAAAGAATCAGGTTATAACAGGAATGTCAGATATTATATCAATCAGCCTTCTGACTAGTCTTTACAAAATCGTAGCAAAAGTGCTGGCAGATAGATTCAAGGGTGTCCTTAATTAGGTTATTTCAAGACCTCGGTCGGTATTCATTAAGGGCAAAATTATCACCGATGGAGTTTTAATTGCAAACGAGTGTGTGCATTCGAGGAAGGCGAGAGTTTTGCTCAAGCTTGATATGAAAAAGACGTATGATCGGGTTGATTGAGACGTGTAGTTGCAAGCATTGAGATATATGGGTTTTGGGGAAACTTGGAGAATGAGGATTAAATGGTGTATTTCTTCAACACATTTTTCAGTTTTGGTTAATGGAAGTCTAAATGGTCTTTTTAAGGCTTTCAGGGGGATTGAGTCAGGGAGATCCTTTATCTTCATTCCTTTTTACAATCGTTGCGGAAGTTTTTAGCCTGATGATTAGAAATGTTGAATGGAAAGGAAGGTTTAATGGCTTTAATGTATTTGATACATCTCCTTTTGTTAGTGTCTCATCTGCAGTATGCTGATGACGCTTTGATGTTTAGCGATGTGGATGTGAATAAGATAATTAATATCATGAGATTTTGTTATACTGTGAAATAGTGCTTGGTTACAAAGTTAATTTTGAGAAAACCTCTTTGATTGGGGTGGAATGTCAAGATGATGTGCTTAAGTTGTTGGCTTTTCATATGGGTTGTAAAATAGAGAAGTTTCCAATAACTTATCTTGGTTTACCAAATCACGGAGGGCAGAGTGCTGAAGTCAATTTGGGATCCGATTTTAAAAAGACTAAACACAAAATTAGATATTTAGAAAGCCAAGGAATTATCTATTGGGGGAGAGTTACTCTTGTTCAATCATCTATGACGAATTTACCTTTATACCAGATGTCCTATTTAGTTATGTCAGGATCAGTCTCTAAAAAAATTGAATAGTTAACGCGCAATTTCCTTTGAGGAACAGGTGATTTTGGCAATAAATATCATTTGGTAAGTTGTGAGAGAATTTGCACGCTAAAAAAAAAAAGGAGAATTGGGAATTAGGAAACTAAAATATATGAATCAGGCCTTGCTCACTAAATGGTGGTGGAGATTAATAAGTGATAATGAGATGTTTTGGAAATATATTTTACAAGCCAAGTATGGGGTGGATCAAATTAATTTATTGAGAGGTAATGGGGGAAGGGATAGTTTTAAGTCATCGATTGGGAAGGGTTTTCTCCAAAATAGGGTTTTTTTTATTGGCGCATGCAAGTGGATTTGGGTGATGGGGGGAAGATATCTTTTTGGCATAGTAAATGGGTTGGGGATTGCAGCTTGAAATTGGTAAATCCGTTGGTGTTTGGGGCAACAAATCAACAAAATATCTTGGTGTCACAGTCTTTTGCTAGGGAGACAAATGATTAGTTTATTAATTGCAGATACAACAACGTACCTGATTCGTTGATAGATCAATATTCTGCTCTGCTTGGGGATATCACTGATTTTAGGCCGCACTGGAGAGGAAAGATGAGATGGTATGCGAGGCTGAAAAAGACAGCATTTTCTCAATTAAACTAGTGTACAGTTTGTTGTTCCATGACAGGATCCGATGGAGTAAGCCATTGTTAAAGAGAATTTAGTGCTGGAAGGTCCTTTTCAAAATTTAAATATCCTTGTAGATTCTTTTCCAAGGTAAATCGCTCAATGTTGACAAGTTTATAAAAAGGGGGAGGCTTTTAATTAATATATGTATTCTATGTAAGGATAATGATGAAAATGGGGATCATCTTGTCCTCCATTGTCCTATCTTTTCTTATATTTGGTGTTGGGCCTTTCACATAATTAGACATATGGTAATAATGCTGAGCAGTCATATGATTATTTTAAGTAATATTGGAGTTGAATTCCTTACCAAAGGTGGGGCAAAATAATTTGGGAGATGGTAATAGCATGTTCTAAGAGAGATTTGGATGGAGTGTAATAGGAGGACTTTTGATAACAAAACTTTGGAAGGGGATTTGGTCAAAAGAAAATTTCTGCAATCGGTGTGGAGTTAGTTCTCTGTGACAAATGAAGGGTTTGGAGTAACCAAAGCGGATGTGGAGATTAATCTGCATATCTTGATGCTTCAGAATGTGTTGCAGGTCTGACCAAAAGGCAGATGGACCCCTTATGTTATCGGGAGTATCAAACTTAATTTTGATAGGACCTCTTTAGGAAACCCTGGCCCTTTTGGAGTTGGAGGAATTTTGTGTGGTGTTGATGAAGAGGTGTTATTTTGTTTTGCTAGATCATGTGGGGAGGTAACGGCTAATGAGGCAGAATTGGCTGCATTGGAATGTGGAATTTGTTAAGATATGGATATCTTTGGTCTATAATGCTATATATCAATATGAACCCGAGACCATGAATTCTAACAGATTTCATCTTCCACGACAGAAAAACATCAGGATGCCATGTTTTGTGGAGGGGGATTCATTGAATGTGATTAATTGGTGTAAAATGATGTCCAGGCTGCCTTGGAGGTTGAGGAGGAAATGACTAGATATTAAGGATATGTGCAATGGTCTACAAATTTGTTTTCAAAATGTGTATAGGGAAGCTAATGACATTGTTGATGGCTTAGCAAAACGAGGGGTGTCTTTGCATCAGGTAATTATTTCAAATGTTTTTCCTTTTTGACTGGTTGTAACATTTGATTGATTAATAAAGCATAAGTAACATCGTCAAAAAAAAAAATTTCTCGCTCCCTCTTTCCTTAAAGGTGGGACATCTCTCTCTTAAAATAGTCTCTCTCTTTTCTACACTAATTTTAGAAAAAAATGCGTCTTTCTCTCTCTTCAAAAAGTCTTTGTCTCCTTTAAATGTAGGAATGTTTCCTATAACCTCTATAGAGTTAGAACCTACTCTTATTTTCGCGACAGGGGTCTACTTTTTAGTTTTTGCTTAATAATATAGTATAGATATCAAATTTTAGTGAGAGAAAATACCTAAAAACTTCTAGAGAGAGAAACTATCTCAAAATTTTTAGAGATAAATTATCTCAAATTATAAGTTTTAGAGAAAGAAAGTATCGTAAAATTTTAGAGATAAAAACTATATTATATTTTTGAGAGAGAAACTATCTCAAAATTATTAGAGAAGGAAACTATCTTAAATTTTAAGTTTTAGAGAGAGAGTATTTTAGAATTTTAGAGAGAGAAACTACATTAAATTTTAGAATGAGAAAACATATGAATTTGTTTTTTGAGTAAGAAAGCACTTGAAAATTTTAGAGAGAGAAACTATCTCAAAATTTTTAGAGAAACAATTTTAAAATTTATGTTTTAGAGAGAAAGCATATTAAAATTTTATAGAAAACCATATCAAATCTTAGAGAGAGAAACTATCTCAATTTTTTTTTGAGAGAGGCTATCCTAAATTTTGAGTTTTAGAGAGGGAAAGTATATTAAAGTTTTATGGAGAGAATCTGTATCAAATTTTGTTAACGAACAACGGGCTTGGAAATGATTGTAAGGAATGCTTGAATTTTGTATTGTTTATCCAAACAAGGGACTTGAGGAATCTATGACAAAAATACTTGATACTAAAAATCGTGGATTTTATCGAGTTTTATGTACCATATGTTTTTCTTGTCAAAAAAATCATAGATTTTATTGGATTTTAAATATCCGAGATTCCTAAGTTACTCCTATCCAAGTAAGGCAAAATTACAAAAACCCCCTAAAATAAGACTTTCTAAACAACATACCCCAACAAAGTTTCTTTTAGCAACTTTTACCTCAAATTGAACTTTTTTAGCAAATACTCCTCAAGTTAAAAAAGTTATTTTTTTTTGATAAAAATACCCACCCCCATTTTGTGTTGGACCACATGCTCAAAGTGGCGGACCACCTTTATTTTGTGTCAAACCACATGCTTTCTAGAAGCCTAAAGTGTCGGACCACCCGCATGTCCAAAGTGTTGACCACCCCTATTTTGTGTTGAACTGCAGGCTTTTCAAAAGCCAAGTGCCGAACCGCCCCCATTTTGTACCGGATCGCATGCCCAAAATATTAGATCGCCCCTACTTTGTGCTGGACCGCATGCTTCTCAAAAGCAAAGTGCTAGACCGCTCCATTTTATGCTGGATGACATGCTTTCCCGAGGGTATTTTGATCTTTATTTTACTTTCTTTATGACTTGGGGTATTTTCTATAAACTTGGAATAAAAAGTGAGAAAAAAAAAAGTTTAGTTCGGGGTTAGTTGCATAAGAAGGCTATGCTTGAGGGTTATTTGTAATTTTGTATTGTTTAATCAAAAGAAATTTATCAAAATATTCATAAAATACCCATCAAGGGCGTGTTTGTTTGGGGGAACATATTTCTCCAGACACAAAATCTTCTAATCTCTGTAGAAATCCCGTGTTTGACGCACGGGAAGTTCAACAGTATATGGAACTCATGAGATATTTTTTCCCCCAAAAGTTCCATTTTTAGTTTAAAAAGAAGAAGATATATGTTCCACCCACATGGCGCCTCTGCAATCTTCTCTCTCTCTCTTTCCCAACAAAACAGCAGCTCCTCTGCGAAAGTTTTCTCTCGCTCTCTCTTCCCGGTAAAGGCAGCCTCTCGCCCAGTACTATTCGCGGCCTTGCAACCTCAACAAGTACCTCCAACCAGTGAGTTCTTTGTTGATTTTGCATTTTTTTTCTTGCTAATTTCGGATTTCTCTGTCAACAACATTGTTCTCAGGTTTTTTTTGGAGGAAACCCTATAAAGAAACATTTCTAGGGTTAAATCTACTGATTTTACTTATTTTTGTATAATTTCCGATGTTGAATGTAGTATTAAATTGGTTTAATAGTTTTCTCTGTTGTAAATCGAGTTCTAAGGCAATGCAAAAACTTTATTTCGTGATTTTCTATGTTGTAAATTCAGATTCAGGGTTAACTGATTGTTTTGAATGCTTGACATCTGACAATCTATCCGTATTAGAGTGCTTGTTGGTTGTCTGCATGATAAGATATTAGAGTGCTTGTTGGTTGTGTACATGATAAGATTATGGATGCCTAATCATTTGATAGTTTGGGTTCTTGTTGGAATCAATATACCTCATTCTAGACTGCTGTAATTTTCGCTGCAAGATTGCTACATTAGCATCACCCTAGTTCATGCAAACCTTAAAATTTGTTATATTGTTTTTATTATGGAAACAATTCCATAAAAAAATTGAAAAAAATTGAATTACAGCTCCAAGAATGCTCAACCCTCAAACTCAATTTTGGACAAATATAAAAGATTTGAATCTTTTAAAGCTCCAAATCGAATATTATTTAGAGAAGCCACTCCAAAAGTAGTTTATTTGAAAAAGAGGATTAGAAAAAAAAAAGACTTGCGTGGTTCAGATTAGCTTGGGTAATCCATCAAAAAAGTAGTTTTAATTAACTTGGGTAATTCATATTTTCCTGTGTCTCTCTCCTCAGCCTCTTCTCCTACTTGCTTGGTTCAAAGCTCCACAAAAAACCATATTCTCTTCTCCTAAACTCATTCTTCAATTCAACTGCAGATTGTTTTGGTAATGGGGTAAGGCTGGATCTCCTTACTCTTCACCAAACTGGACCCTTTATGGACTTCGAACACCACCACTCTGATCCTTCACTCCCAAACCTATCAGACGATGAGACCACTATCCCCAACTTCTTCGAGTTCTGTGATACCAAGCACAGGGACTATTGTCCATGCCATGACACCAAGAGAGAGAAGAAATTTGACATCCATATGCTATTTTTTAGAGACTATTGTCTTCACGCATCAAATGAGTATTGATTATTGGTTTTAGTTTTGTAGGACTTCCGTCAATAAACTTTAGGTTCTAGGAATGGGCATAGTCAAATTTGGAAACTGGAAGGTGGTTTTGGGTTCATAATGAATGAGGATTTGGTTTCAGTGCTCTTATTGAACACTGATTTCTGAAGTGATGAACTTTACTTTCATGGCTAATTAAAATGTTGTTTGTCACATCCTTATTTGAGAAATTGCCCGGATGTCATTTGGATGACAATTCACTTTATCCATCAACCTTTTCAATGCCCTTTAGAAAATTATTGCTGAGTTATTGAGAAGGTTTTCCTCATTATGCTGCAAATTGTGGCAATAGTCTATCATAAATATTAGCATTCTATCTGTTATTTACTGTAAGGATCATTAGCTGTATTTGGTTTGAAAGAATCAATAAGATTGGTTGCAATGTTTATGATGGCATCACATAGTTAGCATGATTTAGTCATTAAGGGGAAGGTGCAGTTATCAGGTGAGATGTTTTCATGCAGCATGTGGGTCTCGAGAGAGAGAGCATTAGATGGGGATGGACTTGATGACAATATTCTGATTATGACATGCCATGTGCGAGAATTGTGGTTGTGGGCTTGTTGGAAGAGTTTGAAAGTGTATTTTAGAGAGTGCAATTGAGAAGAGAGAGAAGTGTTTGGGTATTAGAGACCCATCAGAATTACCCATGTGGTGGTCATTTGTGCATGAATTTGAGTGAATTCTTTGGAAGATTTGCATTTTTCTAAGAGGGACAAGAAATGGGCTTTGAGGGGATGTAATTTTGAGCTAAAAGATCTAGAGGTGACTGGTTCTAGTATGAGCTTGTTTGCTGTTACATCCCTAAACCTTTTTTGCATTTGAATATGAGAAGGAGTACTACAATTGCATGGGAACTTGACTGGTTCTGTTTTTTTAGACCACTTCAAACTTAATATATACATAAACTTTAATCTGAACTGAGGGTGAGGCTCGAAGAGAGGGAGCAAAGAGAATACTTTTCGATACTGGCTGCAAATTGCAGGACTGAGTTGCAGAGGTGACAATGGGGCTTTTCTTATTGCACCCCACATTGCGACTTGCTTAAACAATTTGAAGCGGCTTGATAATTTGTGGGTTTTTTGGGTTTAGCTCCAGGTGTGGTTTTACTATCTCTTCCTTATTTTATTAGCATAATTTTCTTTTCTTGAGTGATAACTTTATCTGTTTCGCTATGTTACTTATGCAAGTATAAAACACAGTAAAGTATGTAACTTTCAAAAAAAAAAAAGACAGTAAAGTATGGATGGGTAACTTTTTTTTGATGGGTTCGCCATTATAAATCTCGTGGATGGGTTGTTGTATGGCTCTTTTCCTGATTGTATTTCAATGTTAGAATATGAATGGCTTGATGATTAGTGCGTTGTGGGGTATGTACTTGTTAAATAAAATGGATTTTTGGGGTTTTGGGTTAGTTCCTGATCTGGTTTTTTTGCTGCTTGTCTTATTTTCATTGGCTTAATTTCTACTAGATGTTTGAAAATGTTTTTTTTCCTTGCTCAAACTTATTATATAGACCACTTCAAACTTAACATATAGATAAACTTTAATCTGAATTGAATGTACATTTAGGTGCCATTAAAAAATGTCATCGGCCTCAACAAATAATGGAAGATTACCTCAATGTTTCTGTCCTCGTCGCCATATACGTTAGTGCATGCATACGTGCATGTGCCATATGATTGTTATCTATCTATATCTCTCTCTCTCTCGCATTATCTATCTGTTCAAGTGATTGTTTTCATGTTAGTATTCCAAAGGAAACAAACTTATCCTCTGTAATGTACTGGTGGCAATATGGAATGGTTGCTTTCAAAATTTTAAATATCTATTTTTTAAATAAATGATATATATTTGCTCTTGAGGACTGCCTGTGCATTGAGTGAAATTTTGATATTATGCAAACATTGGTATTCCTTGAATCTATTTGCATTTTTGGTAATACGTTGGATGAATGGAAGGAATCTTATTTAATTACAAAATGTTTTTAAAAACTGCATTTCGCACATCATATTAATGAAATACATAATGAATAGTATTACAGGCAGTTTCCATCGCAGAGCCCGCAACCCTCTCGCAACCCTAGTTCCTCTCGCCCCTGCCTTCAAGCCACAAGCCCTAGCAACGCCACCATCTCTCTCGTATTTGCAACAACCAGGTAAGGTCTTCCTCTTCTCTCATCTTCTCTTTCTTCCCCTCTCCTTCATCTTCTCTCTCATCCCATCTATGTCTGATCTCTCTTCCCCGTACTCTCTATCTTTGATATTTTTTAATCGATTATTTTCCTGTTGATTACGGCGAGATGCAATGGCGATTGTCATAAATACCCTAGAAATAAATTTTGAAAACTAAAGAAGAATGTGATGCTGGCAAATAGCACTTTCAGGGAGAGGTGTTGGAAACCCTAACGTCTAAGTTTCAAAAACATTAAGTTAGGGATGGGAAAAGTGGCGTGATATGTATGCATTGCACAAGGGTGATAATCCATTGAACTGATCAAGGCAGTTATCTATTTAGATTTCTTGATCAAAGAACCTGAGTTGTGCCTTTGTTTTGTTTTCAAGCAAATCATAAACACTTCTTCCTAGCATGTGTTCTATTTACTTTATAGTTCTTGTAATCAAAATTTGCTTCAAGGTTCATGCATGGATGGTAACTTCATTGAAATTCTTTTTTTTTGTGATTTTTGTCTACTGTGAACTCTTCTCTGTTTTTTGTATCGAAAAGGTGGTACAAGATTTTGGTGCATTACCGAGTCATTCTTTGTGAGTAGTTTCCTTTATTTTGTATCTCTAAAAATTCATGTTTTCAATTTCTTTTTTTTGTGTTTTTTATGTGACAATGTGTTGTTTTATGAATTATGTCGGTCTAGTCTAACAGTTACTGACCCATGGCTGTGAAGAACTGCAATTGCTCACTTTCTTTCCAATTACTACGAGTTGCAAAAAATGCTATTTTATTGATTGGAATTAGCACATTTATACATTTATAAAAACCAAAAAAAATTCTGTGTGGTTTTCTTGTATGTGAGTTGCTTGAATTCTGGGGTTTCGTGGTAGCTTGATTTCAAAGCTATGGTGAAGGAGACTGAATATTATGACATATTATTTTGTGTGTTTGTGTAACTGCCGAAGTATGCAGTAGATAAAAGCAGGGTAATTAACAAAACTGAAGCATTAATAGTTCACATTTGCATTGGTTGAAAACGATTCCATACAAGTATCCATGAGGGCTCTGTCCACAATTGTGTTAAGTTCTAATCATTCATCTGATCTTAACTACCATATCTGAATGAATTATGGATAATTTTTTCCTGCGAGTGACTGCATTTTTTTTTTGTCTTTGATGAACAATTTAGGTGTAATTTGAGAGCAATTATTTTGATATCTTTATTTATTCTGGAATTCAAATTTTTTTACGTGACAAAAATATGCTACAAAACAAATGTAGTGTCAAGCTGATAATGCCCGACAATATCAACTTTGGGATGCAATTAGAGATTAGGAATGACAGAATTATCTCCTTCATACATCACATACCTTCCCCATATCACTAAAAAATGAACAAATGGTTCAAACCGGGTTGACATATCTCCAGTTCAAAAGTTCAAGGGTGAATCCAACACATGTACCCAGAACTTCTTCAACATTTCAGCATGTAATCAAACCCAGGTACCCAGAACTTCCTTAAATTCCAGCAGGTTATCAAACAAGTAACCAGAACTTATTTTAACCTTCCAGAATTAATAAGTCCCCTTCCTAACAAAGAAGAACTTATTTTTTCTGGGGAACATTTATCTTCCAGCAAACTTCCAGCAAACAAATGCGCCAGAGATAATTATTTAACATGTTACCTCTTTCAAGTAATCAAACTGCATGTGTTTGTACATGGGGTATTCAAAATTAAATTAAAAGATATGGGCAAAGTGCTAAATAGTTCGTCTCATATGCAATTCGATAGATTTCTACTTAATCAATAACTTCTCCATGTTATTGGTGTTGTTCGTGCATATTGTTTTCATGATTTTTCAATAACATGCTATTTGCATGAATTTTGTGGAATAAAAATCACTGTTTAATATCGTTGTGTAATTGCACTCCCTATCTCATTTTTAAAAGGGAGTAAAGAATAAAGTACTGAAGGACACAAATGGTACATATCTCCTCCCTAAAATATAGAAGGGAGTGAACAATATAATATTGGAGGATTTAAATAGTATGTTTATAATAAGATATTGGAGGATACCAAAGAATGAGTTTAGATTTTTTTGCAAGTTTCTTTTGAGATTGTTTTTTTTTAAGGTTTTTTTTTACATGGTCTTTAATGTTTTTCGATTACTGGGTGATTAGTTAGTTGTTTTGTGTAAATTTAGTATTGCACGCTCGTTATGAAAAATAGCGCTTTAAAAAGAGGTTTTGCTGACTACCCGGTCGCACTGCACCAATTTCATCGCCTCTTTCTTCTTGCACTATTCCCGGATCCTGGTGAAACAAAAGCGTTTAAAAACCCTAACGTTTTCCTCCGTTCCCTCACAGAGCTCAAAGTTTGGACACCTCAGCTCCCATGGACCCCTTTAATGGAGTCCGAGGGACACCTCAGCCTCTCTCTGCTGAGACTCTGTCACTTTTCACTGAAGGCGTAGGCTTAGTCCTCTCGAGATGGACTGCTCTTCAAATGGCCGTCGAGAATGAATGGGGTGGTCGGGCTTCTCTCCAACATTTGCAGAAATTGTCGACTGATCTCGTTTCCTGGTTCTCCCAGTCCAATGGTGTGATAACCCATCTGTAATTTTTTTTTTTTATAGATTCATTCCTTCTTTTATTTACTTTTTGATCGCAAATGCAAAAATTTATGTTACTTCGAGCTCAAGTGCATTAGATTAATTCATAATAGTTCTTGTTTAGTATTTAATTTGTTGGTGTAGTATTCTACCATGATTTGTTGTTTGTTTAATTGATATAGTCGATTGCATTGACGCTATTGATAATAGTTATTGTTTAGTATTTACTTTGTTAGAGTAGTATCCTATCATGATTTTGTTGTTTGTGTAATTGATAGAGGCGATGATTGTTTTGTTGAGTGTTGTCAAGATAACTATTTTTGCTAGAATTTCAGTTTCTCAGGATTGCTCGAAGTTTTCAAAATTTTTGTTGTTGTGTAATATCGTAAAGGTGAAATTGTTTTCTCGTTCTAGTAGTTCCAATTTTTTGTTCACCCATTCGTATAACATATTGCAGTATATTATAACAAGGCTTGATGATTTTACAAATTATAATTGAGAGAGACTCTAACGCGCATCCGTTTTCTTGCTTGTCTTCGGCTCAAAAGCCAACAAGCAACGGCTAGCGCGAAACCCATTGCGCTACCACCCATCCATTTTCTTGCTGTTCACCCATTCATATAACATGTTGCAGTATATTATAATAGGGCTTGGTGATTTTACAAATTATAATTGAGTTGGAGTCTCTCTCAAATTTTGTTTATTGAAATGTCATTCTTCAATAATTTGTTGTATCCTATCGTGGAAAGCGATCACGATTTTATTTAGGCTCGATTATAAGATACGTTTTTTCAGAGCTTCAACATGGCTACTTGAAGTGATTTTCCTTAGTTATTCTGGTTGCAAATGTGAATTATGAGCTCCGACTAGGTGTAGGACTTTCATAAAATAATACTCGAAAATAATATTATGCTATTTTACTGATTTTCACTGTTGAGGTTCATTTAGCAACAAAGTGATATCTGGTGCTCACATTTCGATGTTTCACTTGTTTGTTTCCTTTTCTTGTCCAACGTTGCTCATTGTTCTTAGCTGTTGCATACTTTCGTTGGCTAAGTTTTGATAGTGGAACACGATATTCTTTTGTATTAATTCATGTATATTTATGTATATGCAGTATATCAATGCTTACCTCTATGCATGCATTTCATGACGAAGAGAACACACATCCTTTAAGATAGCTGCAAAAGCTAAACTCTTTTTTCTCAATAATTTGATGATCTGTCGTGCTGTGCTTGAAGAATTGGTTAGGAGGGTGGATCTGTTATAGACTTAGATCCCATCTTGCTATGAAAATCTAATTAGTCTTTTCTAGTCCTTTTCTTTTAAATGCAATGTTGGATTGTATGCTCATGCTTTTATTGAAATCATATCATCTTCATATCGTGGTCATCTTTTTCCTTTAAAGGACATTGGGTATTCAAGATTTTGTCTCTCTTTGATTCAATATATGTTTTAGCTCCACTCTACATTGATGACTTGGAAATGATGCTTGATGAGAAGATGCTGCTCTCATTCAATTCAGTTTTTGAAGATGGCAGCATTGAGGAGGTATTCTGTTATGAACTTATCATTTATTATACCAACTATTTTTATTGGAATCTTAAGTTGCGTCTAATGATGCATGCTAATCATCTCATATGGTTTATTGCTATGCTTTTCCTATTAGTATATTAATGCTGCTTGGATATGATTATGAATTCTGTTAGATTTATCAATAATGGGTCTCGTGTCAATGTATTTATGTTGCTAAGATAATGTTACTTTTTTCCTAGATAATAATGATAATAATACGAATGCAGGTATGTTAAATTGCTTTGAGCAACTAGGGAACGACCTGGTAAACATAAGGAATAAGGCATTGATAAGAAAGAAGGAATGGAGGAAAAAGATATATGGGGTAATTCAGGGAGGGGGAGGGAAATAATCTTAGACTAGGGAGAACCCCCACACCTCCCCTCAGCCCCCTTCCTTTTCATTGTGAGGGAAAGCATCCCACTATTGACCTCTCTGAGTCGCGGGAGTGGGAGATGCCCACAATTTTAAATTCTCTTGATTCTGTCATCCATTATGTTAGCTATTCTCCAAGGATATTCTGCCATTCTAGGTGCTCAACTGGTGCCATTAAAGTTGGGGTTGGAGACACCTTTGCATCTACCTCCATGGTATCTCATGTGCCAACAGGTCCCACGAAGGTAGATCCATTTCCTCCTAATCCAAATGATGACTTAAAACTTTTTTGGCTCGTTCCTGGGGAGATCCCTGGTGAGGATCTTAACTTGGCTGGCCAGCGATCTAAAGAAAAGGACATGGTGTTGCATTTGGATATTTTATAGAAGCCATCCAAGGAACTGCTGCATCCTTTCGTATTTTTTAAGGAAGGATTTCACTAAGAAGCGTGATAAAGAAAAAGGATCTGAGAAGCGATCAGCACTGTCCCTCTTGCATGGTGCTATGTCAATTCCTTCACAATAGTATTTCAACTCTCATACATACATTATGGATAATATCATAATGCATTGTTTACAGGCTCAGATATTACAGGAATCAAGTGTAAGGGATTAGTGAGAGAGATTTATAGTTAGTCTTGAGTAATGTTGCTAGAGCACTTGTATACAACACCCACAACATCCAAATATTATACGGTTACTTAAATACTCCAATTGTTGTTATCTTAACTTTGTGGGGGTACAAGGTGAATTTTTTGGTTTTATTTTTTTCCCTTTCTCTTTCACACCCATCTCCCATGGAGAAATTATTGTATGTTATTGTACGCACTACATATTTGTCATTGAGGACATCCATATTTGGTGCCTGCGCTTCTGTTTGAACTTCAAGTTCCATGTGATTGTCTTGGCTCCTGTTGCTTCCATTTTGTTTTGTCTTATGATTAATTGATTCAAGTTCCTCCATTTATTTCATTGATAATATTTAATATCTATTGATACAAAGTGAATACTGATTTGGCAAGGTGGCAGAGCAACTGATGATTTTGCATGAAGAATGTCTGAATGGTAATTTTGAGACATTATGTCAATTGAGGGCTTCTAGCCCTGCAACTCAAGCAGTTTCACAGAGTAGAAAGGTATACCTTGCTCTAGTTTTCATTACACGGCTTGCCATTTTTTATGCACTTAAAAACCAGTACTTCATAATTCATTGGAGGCGACTTTAGGTTCTTAGCGGACTTAATTGTTTTAAGAGAAAAAAATTGTTCTTTGAAAGACATCTAGAGCCTTTTGGGAGAGAAAGGAGATGTCAAAGATCATTCACATAAACTGATTAAATTAGAGCAATGGTACTTGCTTGATTTTTGTATTTTTTTTGTTTTCTTTGATGTTAACTCCGGACCTGGTGGGAATGGAACTAGATATCATGCAATGGCACCTGCCACCCTGACCACCTCTGCCTAGAGCCCCTTCTATGTTTATTTTCTTTTCATATGAAGTTTATCATATTGCAGAAGATATTTTGTTTCTCTTATGTGGATCTGAAATTTGCTTTGAGATTGATGTGTAAACAATGTGATTACAACTGTATTTCTTGTCTTGGAAGTCTCCATTTTCTTTCTTAAACAAGTAAGATTTCTTCAGTCTTTATATCATATCCAAAGCACAAACTGCAGAGATATGCCCCTTATAAATTAAAAAAAAGAAAAAAAAAAAGAACTGCAAGGTATATGCCTCAGGGTGCGTAATTAATAATGAGCAGGCATGGAACCACATTGAAATTACAAATGCACCGTTTTCTCTATCGTGCTACAATCCTTTAGCTATTCTTCAACCTGGACAACATGGGCACTTACTCAAAGAATATTGTTTTGTGATCCTATATGCGTAAAAACCCATTTATGTCAGGTCTCCGAAGAAGAAGGCTCTGATGATAGCACAGATGATGAACATGAGCCTGCTTCTGATATGGCTTTGGACATTGAGCCGGAACAAATGGCTGTCGACCCAGTCAAGAGCAAGAGCTCCTCAAAGGTGGTTCAGCTTTCTAGTAAGGAAATTGCAGAGGGGTGGGCTCCTGTTACTTCAAGGAGAAACAGGGGAAAGAGATCAAGCTGATGCTTATACTTATTAATAGGTACAAGTTTTGCCGTGTAAAATGTTTATGGCCATCTTTTTCCACCTTTAATTTATATGTTGGATGAGTGGCATTGTTCGGAAGGAAATCGTGAACTTTCACTTTCATCCTTTGCTTGATTCTCGTCTGTATGTTTTTTTCATTTTCTTATGATTATTTAGTGGCAAGGAGTTGTCATCCCAACCCCAACTTTGTCCCCTCTTTTATTGGAGAAATATATAATAAGACAATTTACCTTTAGTCCAAGGAGGTACAATCACAATTGGCTATGGAATGTGAAATTTTGTACTTGAGATGGTGTTATTGACCGGCTCAAAGCCTAAAAAGAATTTTTTCAAACTTTGCGGCATGCTTCAACTTGTCGGATTTTACATCTGAAGTTAAGATTGATTGGGACCTCCGCATACCAAAGCTAAGTGGTCACTTAGTATACAATCCCGTTTCTATTTATTGTGGGTCGAGGGCACTCCATGAGCTACTGTCAGTTTCCTTGAATTGTTCTTGGGTCTTTTTAGATTTATTTTTTTTCCCCTCATCTATTATTTTGAAACTTCTAATGGCGACGACTATCAAAAGGGTTTTTCTTTTTCGACCGACCAGTACTTTTTGTTGTAATACAAGACTTGCATCCTATTTACTTTTTGGAAAATTTAAGATCCCTGAATTTTTTTGGAATAAAAATATATCCACTTCATGTTGTAATTTGCGATTGTATCCCCATTTTTTGTTTTTGTTTACTTTTCAAAATACCAGTTCGTATTTTCAAAATCTAAACCGGAACAGTTGAGAAACCGATTCAGAAATTTAAATTGCATACTGGTGTTTGGCGTAACAACATATTGGAATTTTGAAATTTTGAACTAGTTTATTTGACATATGCATGTGGCTTGTTTTGAGAGAGTTTGGGGTCTTTGGTCTTGCGAGAGTGAAGGTGGGAGAGTGTGAAATAGGTTAGGAGAGAGAGAGAGGACTTTGGGCTTGAATAAGAGATAAGGCGGGTGAGGGCAAGGAGAGGGAGCCTTGGCCGGCCTCTTTCCACTCGTGTATGTATCTGGGAAATGTTGGTGTAGGCCCATTAGCTTATCGTTACATATATATTTAATTCATATCAATTTGATGGATATGATTTTATTTTGTATTTTTTTTTTAATTTTTTTTTTATAAATTCAAATCATGTGAATTTAAGCATTTATTCTTCTCATCAATGTGCACTTAATAAAAATATTTTAAAACTAATTCACAAAATATAAATTGATTAAAATACACCTGCAATATTTTAGGGGTATTTTGATCAATTTATTTTTCACGAAATATTTTTTGATATTTTTATTGAATTTTAATATTTTTAAAGAAACACGTGCTCAAAATTTCAAGTTATTTAGATTGATATAAAAAAAATACAAAATGCAATCGTGATTATTAGATCGACTCAGATTCAATCTAGGCCGTTGGGCCAATAGATATAGCTGTAGGTTAGTGGGCTAAC